TTTCGGTACACCAGTCATTCAATTGATTTATCGCATTTTGGAAAATGATGGCATCAATGGGCGATTTTACGGTACGAATCAATTTTAAATCATCTGCAAATAATAAAACAAGTGCATTTGATACTGTTTCGACAATATCGTTAATAAAAACAATAAATAGACATGGTCCCAATCAGTGTTTCGAATTTTTCAATGCCAATTCATTCAATTATAATTACCATTAGTTAATGTAAATTGAAATTTTCAATTTATTTTTTTCAATTCATTGAATTGAATTTTCAATTACCATTTACATTCAAATTTATAAATGAATTGAAATTTATTTCAATTGCGTGAAGTTGCAGAGATTGATGCGGCATTTGTGCATAGCTAATGTCAAAAGTGAGGTTAATATTTGAATGCGCACATTCAACAATAACGGTTGCTGTGTCAATAAGTTAAAAAGAAATCGCAGCAATGAAAACAGTTTCAAATTTTAATTTTTTTAATTTGTATATTAATATTAAATTTTAAATATATATATATTTTAATTTACATTCAAAATGTTATTATAAATGAATTGACGGTAAAAAATTGAAAACAATCGAGAGTAGTATTATGGGAGCCAACTAGAATCTCTGCAACTTCACGCAATTGAAATGAATTTCAATTCATTTCTCAATTTGAATGTAAATGGTAAATGAAAATTCAATTTAATGAATTGAAAAAAATAAATTGAAAATTTCAATTTACATTAACTAATGGTAATTGATTTTCAAATAAATGAATTGAAAAAACTAATCATTATTTCAAACTCTGGTCCCAATATACTTCCCGCAGGTACTCCTGATGGTACAGTGAACGTCCGTGACTTTCTTCCGCCTATTCCGACAAACTGCGTTCGTGATGTCAAATAACCATGGAACCATTTTATAACTATTGTTCTGTTTACAAACGTATTTAAAAAATATGAATATGAAAACGCAGTAGCGGGAATACATTTATTTTATTTTACAACAAATAATTATAAGCAACCAATTTGTAACGTTTTTCACCCATTTTAACGTTGAAAAATGTAACGCTTTGACCCATTTTGATGGTCATTTTCATGTTAAATAAAAGATAGATTATGTGTGTAGTTTTCACATTCCACAGCACAATGTACAGATTTACCGGCATTAAAATTGTAATGTTACTAACCATTACATTAACATAAATGTTTGTAATAGCTACTACAATTGTATTAGATATTATTGTAATGCTAAAAATTTGACAATACAATTGTAATAGCATTACAGTAATGCTTCGTTACAATAACAATGTGATACCCGTATTGTTAAAAATCTAACATTAATTTTGAGACTTTTCAACACAACTTTAAGTTGAAAATATATTTACAATAGATGGCGTTTATGTCTGCTCTAAGCTCATCATTGAAATTGCTCATCAACCCAATCAATTTCAATGATGAGCTTAGAGCGGACACAGACGCCATCTATTGTAAATATATTGTCAACTTAAAGTTGTGTTGAAAAGTCTCAATATTAATGTTAGATTTCTGACATTAGCGGCAGTGTTGAGTAACACATTATTATTGTAACGAAGCATTGTCAGTAAGGTTATAAGAATAGCAATAGCTATTACTGGTAATGCTAAAATCTAATATTACAATTGTAATAGCATTACAGTAATGCTTCGTTACAATTGTAATGTGTTACTGCAAAATGTAAATCTGTAGCACAATGTGAACCCGACCCAACACAACGTTAAGTTTTAATTTTGTATTTCAATTCTAGGGGAAGACCTCGTAGACGTTATTTGGATTCGGTTAAATGTGATTTGGATGTTAGAAGGTATGATTGGTGTAGAGAAACTCAAGACCTGGCTCTCGATAGGGAAGTTTGGAGAGGAATTGTTAGAGGAATTTGAGGCTAGTCGTTACGTAAAAGACCACACACTGAAAGGTACAATCGGTCTAAAAATGATTGTTGTTGTTGTTGTATTCTAATGATTCATTTTAAAACGTTTTTTAATGGAAATTATTTTTCTTTGAATTTTGTGAGATTTACTGTTCTCAATATTGAAAAATATTAAATTAGAAAAATAAAATGGTTAACATGATGGACCATATGATGTCCGACCTCAATAACCGTGTTAAATGGTGTTAGACCATGATGGACCATGATTTCTGACCTCATTTACCGTGTCAAAT